GCATGTAGGACCCGATGGGTATGGGGAACAGTGCTAGCCAATATCATGCCAGCATAGTAGAAATAATTTACAAAACTCAAAATAAAATGAAAACCCCTTGCAATTTACTGGATAAAATCGTTTGAGAAAAGAGATCACCGTGACCATAATATTATGAAGACATGAGGCTTTGTACAGAGGTGGATAAAGAAAAACAAACATCGAAATATAGCAGAACCGGACTTCTTTTCATCTTAGTCAATGCCAACTTTCCACTTCAAAAGGGAGTTGAAGGGGAAAAGGATCAGGAATACACCTTGGAGAAGGAGAGCAACTGTTTGACCAGGACTCTGGGGGTGATATCGCACGTTTGAACTATTCAAACGACAGCCTATAAAAACTTTACACAGATATTTGCATATGATGTCAGCATCATCATGGGTGACAGTAATAGGGGGTGCCCACAAACGCGATCGGGTCGGGTCGGATCGGGTCGATCTGGTAGTCGGGGCTAGCCAAATTGAGGGCGTAAAGCGGCCCATCGTGGCACAAACCGATCGACTCGGTCGGTGACCTACAAAAACAAACGCGTTTGTTTTCATGCCTGCGAATCGCGCGATCGGATGGTTTGCAGCCAATCACAACAAGGCTGAGTCACGTGTCCATTTTAACACTGAAAATCCGGTGGCGCCATCTTCGAAAAAGTGCAGACTTTGCAAAACAGAGCTTCCCTTCTTGTGTGAAAAACAATAAAAGCGAAACAACAAACTGTGCTATTCTTATTCTTCTTCTTGAGAAACGAAAGAGAGCTTCAAAACAAAGACTGCAGCACCATCTGAACCAATGCGCAGACTTCCGCGGACATTTTTTCGGCCGAGTGAACTAGAGCTATCTTCTTCTGAGCGATCTTTGATAATAGAAAGTTTTCGATGAAACTATTGTAACCATGCTTATGAGATTCCTTGCTGCCACAGCACTGCAACAGGGAATTGCGGGAAGGATCCCTGGCAGCCATTGAGGTTAAAGGTTTCTGTACTTAAACTTCCAGGTCGTCGGGTACAATCGCGGCGGGGTTGCAGTGTGCACTGAAACAACCAGAAAACGACCCGACCCGACGCACCCGATCCAGTCTCGCTAGTGGCACCCCCTATTACAGCTGTTGAATGCCTCGTCATCCGTCTTTAACTGGGGTAACTAGCGTTCACAGAAATGCAACGTCATAAGGATGTAAAAAAAACCAAACAACTTCAACAACAACGAAAACTGACGATGAAGTCAACGTATTATATCACTCATAACCAAATGAACGAGATAAAGAATTCATTACATTAGTAATGGTGGTAGATCATGATTTACCCTACGAGTGAAATTGCCAGGTTGTAATCACGAATTTCAACGAGTGATTACAAATGGCAATTTCATAAGCAAGATAAATCATGGTCTACCAACATAACAAGTGTAATAAATTTTAATCTTTTATACCATATTGATACCAGCTGGCAAGAAGATATTTTTGTGTAATAAGGAATTCAAGAACAAACAATAATTCAGTATCTAGTCAGTAGACGTATCGACTTGTAACAATTAACGTTTCCCATTTGCTTTGGCCTTGAACAAGGTCAAATTTCGTTACATTTAGTATAGTAGGAGTTTTGCGGCACTAGCAACTCAGTTGGTCATATAGTACCCGAAGATTGGAGGTGTTACAACAGAAAACAAACAGAAAAAAGAAGATGGAGAGAAAAGGACGATAAATCTTTTATAGGAATAGGAAAGAAGGAGCAAGCCACACCAGAAAACTCGCCAACCACCAACTATCCATTCACAAATAATTGTCAAAAATTGAACAGATAAAATTGATCAATAGCGCAAGTTACAAAGCGATGAACACCGACTGGATGTTGGCCAGTTACCACTGGAAAAAAAATCAAGACAAACGGAAAGAACACAAACAATAGCATTTTTAAAAAAAAGTAGAACTAGTGACTGGTCCAAACCAGGTCCCAGCTAAGGAGAAAACAAAACATGGGATTCCTGAAATAAACACGGCGGGAATGGACGTAATAAAAAATAGCAAGGTCAAATCATACTGCGGATAACCGTTAACGGGGATTCCTCTTCAACGGGGTGCCCAGTAAAATTGCAATAAACATTTTACAATCCAATCAACACGGTTTGGGTACAATCAATGAGGAGGCGATAAGCTTCGTTCTCGCCCATCAGAGCCAACACGGCTTATATGTCGTGATTCCCCAGCAAAAAGACAAAGATACTCGATACCTTACCCACATAATGAACAGAAATCCCCTCTTTGGTGTTGTGGTTAGGCGTTTCACCTTCACACGCACAAGACACGAGTTCTATTCCCGTAAGGGGTCTTCGACACTAGACGTTGTACCCCTCTTAGCCTGGGTTGGCCAAGACAGACAGGATTGAAGACCGCCTCCTAAAAGATCTAAATTGTTTTAAT